AGTCTATTTATTATAATTAAAATATAGCAGGTTACATAATTTAGACACAATGCTTTTTTCTAGCTTGCAAAAAGTCATTTTTTACTGATCTCATCAACCTAGTTCCCAGACCTTTAATGCTAGACTCAGATACTTTTCAGTGTAATCTGATAAAGTTTGCAGGTGCTCTTCACAGCATCATCACTCCAATTGAAAGGTACCTTTTTGTTTATTGGGAATACCAATTTGTCCACGTGGAACTTTTTCTCTTAGCAAGCTCTGATCAACTCTGAGGAGAGCATTCTGAGCCCATGTGCAACTCATCAGCCATTATCATATATGGGGACTGGATTCCCTTTTGGAAATATGATTGCTGGAGATCAGAGCCCAGTTTTTTTGTATAGTCAGTTGTTCTTATGGGCCAGATTGGAGAGAGAGGGGAGCAAATCAGCTGTTCATTTGAACACTGTTTTAGTATTGGGGATTTAGTACTGAGGTTTTCTTCCCTCCTATTTGTCAATTTCACTGTAGATCAATAAACTGTATTTTTTTTTTCTGGGATCACACTTGACTATTTTGACGTTGATGCAGGTTTCATGGTCTGGGAACATATTTGAGATGTAAAGTAATTTAAGATAAAGATCTTAAAACAAACTTTCTCTTTTTCAGTAATCTATTAAAAACAAGGTGGTTCTACTTATTTCTGTTCTTAAAGTTTTGTGATACTCTTTCTTGATATCATATCATGGGCAAGCACAGATGCATTCATCTAGTCTTTATAAATAGACTAGGAACCGTGAGAACTGAGATTCCTGATGGAAGCCCTCTTAATACTCTTTTAGCTCAAGAAAAAGCTAATGCTCATTTTCTAGAATTTACCCTTGATGAAATGCCTGAGAGGATGTACCACATCTAAAAGGATTGGTGTTTGAAAATCTTGACAGAACACCTACCAATATATATCCGTCTGTGGATATGTTCATATCTGACTGTTTTTTAAATATATAGCTAACATCCAGGCTATAAGCAAAACATATTGAATAAATTGTTGTCAAAGACTATCCTAGAAACTCCTTCAAGATAAATAAGAACATGGACTGGCGAAGTCTTCCTGTGCTATTGAATCCAGTTTCATGTCTTTGCAAACAATCCTATCCTATCTCTTTTCCCTAAACTGATCAAGCTCCATCTTAAAAATAGTTAGGATTTTTGTCCCTATTCCTCCTAGTAGAAGGTTGTACCAAAAAGCTTACTCTTCTGAGAAGGAGAGAAATCTTATTATTTTTATTGAAAAGTATTCAAATCTGATTCATTCACATTTTGTTTTTGTCCCTATATTGTCATTTAACTTGAATATTCCTTTGTCACTAGTATTTATGGACAGCAACTATATCCCTTGTTTAGTGTTCATTTTGTTAATTAAGCTTCATTTAATAAAACAAGTTCTCTTAATCTCTTTTCATAAGATAGGCCATCCATTGTATTCTTCATCCTTGTAGCCTTTTTTTGCATCTGTTCTAAACTTAATTAATCTTTCTTTAATTTTGGACACAAATTTGTATGCAGTATTCCGGATAAGGTCTCACCAGTGCCTCAACCAGTGTCAGTCATGCTTAACCAAAAATATCTCTCCCCATACTTTCTTGGATTGCATTTACCTTTTTTCATGGCTCTATCATGTAGTAGTCCTGTGTCCTAGTAGCGTACCGTGTTCTTTTATTTCCTCCGCTGCTTCTAACTAAGGAGCTCCCAGTTTAAAGAAAAAACTAGTATTATTACTAATGTGCATGGTCATGTGCATAATCTTATTCTGATTTTGCAACTCCAACTCTTAAGGTCATCCAGTTCTTTTAGTATAATGCTTCAACTTTCCTTTTTATTTATAATTATTTCCATTTCTGTTTCTTAAACATTTCATTAATAAGCTCTTATTTCTTGTATCAAGGTTATGAATGAAAAAAATAAGATTGGTCCCAAGACAGATCTATGGGGATGTTTTGTTAGTTACAACACTAGTAACACGTGTTACTAGTTACATCACTAGTAGCAGCCCTACATCTTTTTTGTCATACTTCCTTTAGCTTGTTTCTTAATCTCTTACAGTTCTCAGGTTAATGATTATCTTTGGGTGAATTAATAAATTATCCTCTACTACTGGATCAAATGCTTTACTGAAGTCTAGATAATTAGATCTTACTATATTTGCTTTATCTACAAAGCAGTTTTCTTATTAAAAAAAAGTTAGTTTGGTGTGATCAGCCTTTTGAGTAAACTCTTTTGATTACACATTGTCTTTTTTTCCTTCAAAATTTGTTCTAAACTCTTGTATACTAATGGGCCTGTAATTACCCAAATCATTTTTTCTTCCCATTCTTAAAAAATAAATACTACAGTCCCCTCCCCCAGCAGTTTCAAGCAAATATTTTTAATTGATTCATCAAGATCTACAACTTCATGTGTTTAATTCTTTCAGAATTTTGGAGTGGAGATTATTTGGCTCCCTAACTTGAAATCGTTAGGCACTCTTGAGTTATGCTTCATTTAATTTTTCATCTCCCACTAGCTGTCCTGCCTCTTCTTCCATGTTCTAACTAATTATCTTTATTGAAAACTGCTTTTTTGTTTTTGAGCCGTGCCTGCATTTCTCTAATCTCTACCCCATTGCCACTGCATAGCTAATGCACTCCTTTTTCTTTTTGTCTCTTCATTTATGCAAATAAAGAACTTTTTGCTACTTTGTTTCTTTGCAAAGTCCTAATTCAGCTTCAGTTTTGGCAATTCTTGCTATATCCCAATGCTTTTTGACCTCTAGGGCACATCACTCTAGGTCTGCTGTACTATTTTCTTCCATTTCTTATGGACTCTCTAAATCATTTTTGAGGTGATTTTATTCATTCATTTAAGGCTGAAGATCTTATATGCATGTGTTCCCCTTACTTGCTATGCTATATTCAGGTTCTTAAACTTCAGTCTAGTCCATGTCACTGAGTTCTCTTGGTTTTACAAAGTGTTCATTCTTTAAACATAACATTCTAAGTTAAGGACCTGTATTTATCTTTTCATTCAATTTACATTGGATCACTAAATCCCAGTTTATTTTCTACATCCAGCTCCTCTGATGTTCACACTAATTGCCAAAATCAAGTCTAAAATAGCATCAACTCTTTAAATTTGAAGAATTTGGTGACAAAATCTGTTGCCTGCCACACCTAGTAGAACCTCTTACCATCCCAAAACAATTTTGAACTAGAAAGATTTTGGCAACTTCGGAAATCAAAGCATTTATATAGTATTAATAGCTAGAGAAGCTGCTTTCTGGTATTTATAAGAAAGGATCAGGGTTTTTATATTTTTTCTTGAGACTGGTCCATTCAAGGCATCTCTCCTAAGAGAAGCGCAAACCTTATTCTGAAATTTAGCATTTCATGATAACCAGTACATCCATTCTTTCTAGTTCTTGCCTTTTGTCTTATGAAAATGTCTTTGTCTTTAAAAATGTCTTAGGCTTGAGCAGCATCCTGAAGTTGAATTAGTGAAGATGCTATTGTTAGGAAGCTTGGTAGTGTATTTTTATTTTCTTGGGGGCTGTTGTGGGAACTAAAGTCTATATTACTCTTTTCTTGATGGCTAAATAGGGCTTTAGTGTGAATCTGCAAGGCTTATTCCTTCCCAGAAGTAAAGGGCCTGTCCTACTAGAGCCATAACTTCCTTATTGAGCAAAAAGGTGAGCTGCTTTTAAAAAAAACAAACAAAAATCAAATAATCAATAAAGCTGATTTACTTCACATCTACATATTCACTAAGTCTAAATTTGATTCTATTTTTTTAGTTAATGTGATGTTAAGGTAACTCTCTAGAAGGACTCTTAGCAAAACAGAACCTACATTGGAGAGAACTGTTTTGTGTTCCATTTTTACTAATTAATCCAAAATCCTACTTCATTTTGATGAGAGCTCTCTGTGTGAGAATACTATCAAATGATTAAAATGACTGGGAAGAGAGAGAAGGTTCTGCCACTAATACATGCATGACCTTGGGCAAAACGCTTGACCTTTTAGGCTGTAATATGGAGATAATAGTACCTAGCTCATGAGAATTTGCGAGGTTTAATTCAGTGACTTTTAAAAATGGTACTGATAAGCCTCAGTGAGAAGGTACTATAGAATGAACAGTATTATATGTGTGGATTTAATTATGTTGTTTCTATCAGTTTTTATAACCCTGCCATAGTTAGGAAAGAAGTTTTGTCTCTTCAAAGACAGTGCAAAAATTCATGCCTGGGGAGAATAGGAAGGGGCTATTTGAAGAGGTGCTGAAGGCATAAAAATTCAGAGTGGTGATTGGTCACCTCTGCTTGATTGACAGGTTGCAGGGAAAAACAAAAAACCATTTGTTCTGGCTTAATGGAACTGGAAAACAGAAAATGAGTATCAGGTAAAAATTACTTTTTTAAAATATTTGCAGTTCTGTAAAAACTGGAGTTAAGACCACACCAATCTAAATCTCCCTCAACTTCTCCCTCCCTCCCACAAAAAATGAGTAGGAAGTGTAGAAGCACAAAGCTAATCTGTATAAGTGGGCTGGTAATTTCAGTGCATTTTTAGTGGGCAAGTATTGTAAAGCATTTATTGCTGTAGTGCTTCTTGGCAAATTTAGCAGAAAGGTAGAATGAATGGGTGTGGTGACTGAAACCCTGAACTGGACCCAGCTCTTTGTTTAGGTTTAACAGCAGGACATCAAAGGGGAAAGTTTTACTGTCACTTCCTGTACTATGCCTATTTTGTGGATAAAGTCTGTCAGTTGCTATCAATCTGGCATCTTTCATGAATGAGCATTGCTATGCAATTCACTGAAAAGTGAATGGCTAAAAAGTAAACAGTGTATTAGAAGTAACTTCCATCTAAGAGTATATATTGTCTTTGGATATTTTACATACAGATCAGCATCATAATTTTAAGGATTATAATTTAGCTATCCCCCATTTTTTGGTAAAATTAATTTTGTCTGTTGCTGTATTTCAGATTGAAGGGCAAGGACATGGTGCAGTTTTTGACTGCAAGTGCTCTCCTGATGGTCAACATTTTGCATGTACAGACTCTCATGGTCACCTTTTGATTTTTGGCTTTGGCTCCAGTAGCAAATATGACAAGGTATTGTGCAAAAAATGCCCATGTTATGAGTTCAAAAAATGTGCTCAAACAAACACTTTAACTTCAAAGTTTCATTAAAAATACCACCCCAAGAAGAAAGGTATAACTTAGTTCTTTGTTCTGTACTGTTACAAGCATTCTTACCGCACTGACATTTTCTATAGCTCACTGATGCTCTCTACCTCCCATTTCAGCTGTGATCTGTCCATCATGTTGTTCTAAAACTGAAATTCCATCCAGTTTCAAACAAAAAAGGGGGTTTAAATACTACTTAGAAGGGAAACAGTGAAATGTGTAGCACTTTTAATGTGGTTAGAGTTGGTATGTTGTGGATGGAACCATTTCTCAATTTTACCCTGTCTTTTCAAACATGACCGGGCTGGTTCTGGATTAGTCCTGTTATAAATAAGAAAGCTAGGATTCTAATTATTGTTTAGATTAGTGAGATCATGGTACAATATATTTATGGCATCATCTTATGCCCACAAAATTCTTAGGAGGACAGATACCTAATGTATATGTATTGTATGTTCTGTAATTTTTACTAGTTATTCCTGTGCATCATAGATGTTTTCTGATACTTGCGTAGGCTACCAGCAATACTGGATTGACATTGTAAACCTGACACTATTTAGATCAGTTTTCATTTTCTTTTAAAGACTGACTTTTTCAAGTATACAACATATAATAGAAACAGATTAGTTGTATTAAAACTTCTTTTGACAAAATATGATGACTAAATTGGTGTAAATAATTTTCTGCTCACTTTCCTCCAACCAAGTAGCTCCTAAAATGCAGTAATATAGCTGTAGTTGTCAGAAATACAATGCATCATGATTTGTAAACTGTTCAAGCCAGTTTTATCCTGTTTTCTGCCAAATCACTATAGCTTTTAAAATAATTCTTTTTTCCCCTCCCTAATGTATATAGGACAAAAACTGTAAGCATTAGATTTGGAAAAATATTAGACTGTTAGCTCTTCCCCCATAAGGGAGTAAAAGTTACTTTACTTTTATAATCACTTCAATTTTTTTTACAAATCTTACTTAAATTGAATGCTTTCTGCAGACATTCTTGTTTTGAATAGTTCTATTTTTCATCTTTAACTGTTTGTAATAAAACATAAATTGGCTTTGTTACAGATAGCAGATCAGATGTTCTTTCACAGTGATTATCGGCCTCTTATCCGTGATGCCAACAACTTTGTCTTAGATGAACAGACACAACAGGCGCCACATCTCATGCCCCCCCCCTTTTTGGTTGATGTTGATGGCAACCCTCATCCAGCAAGATACCAGAGATTAGTTCCAGGTCGTGAGAACTGCAGGGAAGAGCAGCTTATTCCTCAAATGGGTGTGACTTCCTCAGGTACACTGAATATTAATCCAATGTACTATAACTGTGGCGACTTGGGTACTGCATTTTTGAAGGATAACCTAGTTCATTGTTTAAATATTAATAAAATTTAATTAATAGGGTTAATTAAAATAGTGACTGATTCAGATTTATTGATTTTTTTTTTTTTTTTTTTTAAAGTCTTTTCTGTACGCTAAATAGGTTTAAAAAAAAGAACTATACAAGTAAAGATTTGGCTTTGACTAGCTGAGAGACTCACTGTAGGACCTGGCAGACTAAATTTGCAGTCAGTCAAAAGAAGCAGCCATTACAATTCAAACCAAAGGCTCCAATCCCTGTTTTCAGAGAGAAGCAGATCAGAGCATATGAAAAATGCCACACAAATGTTGAGTAAAACTGATTCTTGATTTAGCACAATTGTAACATGCTGAACTTCTGGAACATATGTTTAAACATAATATTATATTATAAGAATAAGAAGATCATTAGCAGTGCTTACTATAATTTATATACATTGCCTCTTGGAACACTGTGCAATGTCCATGTTCTGTGCTCTTTGTGAATTAATCTGCCTACAAATGATGATAGTATCAGCTAGTTAAATGTTCTTTACATGTTTGTTTGAATTATGATTTTTTTTGTCACTTCAGCTGTTTTTTTCTAGACCGGGGTAGTCAAAGTCTGGTCCATGGGCTGGATTGGGCCTGTGGTGGACTCCACTTCCTAACAAACCATGCCTGTGTTGCTGCAGCCAGTTTCCATGGAGAACCCAGCAGTGGCGGGGCTGTGACAGTGTGGGACCAGGATTTGCATGGAGGCTGGCCCTAGCAGTACTGGCAGGGAGCTGTTCTGGGGCTGGGATCTTGCGGCAGTGACAGTGGTCTGGAGCCAAGGCAGAGCTGCCCTCTGGCTGTGCACCCTGGGAAACGGTGTGCAGGCAGCAGATCATGGTTCTGCCCTGGCTCTGGAGCACACTATCACCACTGCAGGATCCCAGCCCTGGCCATGGAACAGCCCCCCTGCCCAGCCATGTGCCCTGACAGACCTGCTGAAGCCAGCCTCTGTGGAAACTGTGGCACCATGCTGTCATAGGCCCACTGTTGCTGGGGTCTCCATGGAAACTGGCTGCAGCAATGCAGGCAGGGACTGCTAGGAAATGGAGTCTGCCGCGGGAATTAAATTAGAAGGTGGGTGTTGCAGCTCCAGCTCTGACCTAAGCCCCCAGGATTGGAGCTGCAGCTGTAACCTGCCCCACTCCATGGCAGCCCCAGCCTGAGCTTTCCTATGTAGGTGTGGCTGGGGTCTCCATGGAGACCAGCCCAAGCAATGTGGGCAGGGGCCTCTGGAAAATACAGTCCATAGTTGACCGGATCTGGCCCGCAGGCCAGACTTTGCCCATCCCTCCTCTACTGGCTTGACATTCATCTTCTCATATCTCATAGTAGCTTGGGGGAAATAAAGCTTCACTTGCTAGGCACCAAGAACATTATCTTGTGTTATACAGAAAGTATTCTTTTTAGAACCTTAATAGACATTTCTGGTATATTTGCTGGCAGACCCTTGGGACAGTGTATCAATTTATAAGTTACCTAAGCACATTTCTGATTGAATAGGGACTTGGCAGTTAGCTTATTCCTCTCGTCCTTTACTGCATGTTCCATTAGGCATCAGGTGTTGTCTTACTGTTGGGCATTGCCTTTGCCTTGGCCTGAATGAGGACTTGGGGAGTGGTCTTTGTTTTAAGCTTTGTGCATTCTTTCTGCATAACAACTAAGATAGGTTCTCCTCAACTTAGCCAGATCTTTCATCCAAATTCTCAGCATCTCATATAGTAATTACTGCACCATGTTTTTCTCTTGCCTTGAAAAATGCTGTCATACCTAATTTATGTCTATTCAGAATGCTGCTGTAAAAATCACTTTGATCATGTCAGCCCCCTTTGCATTCTTCTGCTGGCTACCTCTTCTGATGTCACACTTAAGCATCTTAGCTGCTTGCAGACGTTAAATACGAAACAAAAAAAAGTGCTTTACTAGAAGAAGCAGTGCATTGCTTTGACTCAGTTCTGCAGCATCTGTATAGATTGGGCATTTCAGTGGGGCTTTTTGGTGCTTTTATCTAAAGTTGATTCAGTCAGGTTTTAGGTAAAAGCACCAGAAAAGCTACACTAAAGTCCCTGATCTATACAGATGTTGGGCAAGCCAGGACCAACAACTGTGCTACCTCTTTTTTGGGTGTGTGCTGGGTCATTTTTTTTCTGTAACATTTGCAAGGAGCGCTTGTCTTCATTTTTGAGGTCCTTCATGCCCTCATTGAATATAGAGAAAAAGCATCATAGGTTGATTTGATGGTTGAGTCCAAGTCTTTTATCAGTTTTGTTAGCTTTTTCAAGCAGAAGCTTATGCTTCTCTTTCTTGTCCCCCTCTTATAACTATATTGTGATATGTGCAAGAAGGAAATAATATATATGGCACCAATTAGGCTCTCAGCCTTAATCAGTTGATTTTAGGCTTCTGATGCACTTTGATTGTAGCCCAGGGGTGAGCAAAATATGGCCCATGGACCACATCTGTCCTGCCAAATGATTTTATCCAGCCTGTGACTGCTCCTCTAAAGCAGAATTGTATTCGGCCCATGGTTGTATTGGCTTTTGGTACCTCTCGCCCTTCTCACTTTCCTGTGGCATAGCTGGCTGCAGCAGCAGCAGCAACTCATTCTGCCCACCCTGTCCTGCCCCACAGCCCCCAGTATCTGCTCCAAGATGGGCACTGAGCTAACAAGGGTTAGGTTCCTCTAATGCAGGGGTGGGCAGTTATTTGGACTGGAGGGCCAGCTTTGTGCTGTGTGCCAGGCTTTGTGCTGTGTGTCCTGGACTGTTGCTCATCTAGCCAATTTTATGGTCTAAATAATAATGCTCATACCCGAGTTGGAAGTAGAGCTGTTCTGTAGAACTCTGTTTGTTTATCTCTAGGCTAGAGACAGAAGATGCACATAAACCAGTTTAGGTGATCAAAACTGATTTAAAACTGTAACAGAATATAAGTTTAGTGCATATAAACCAGTTTCAAAATTGCCAGAACTGGTTTAAGATAAACGTGGTTGAAAGTAGTATATCAGACTTAACTGATTTGCATCAACTGGTTTATGCAACTTCTGTCCCAGACTCCCTCCTACTTCAAATTAAACCACAGTCCCCCAGCATCCCAGATGCTTTGCAGCCCTGGGCAGGGCTATGCTCTCTGCTCCAGAAACCAGGGCTGGCCCATCCCCTCTGCTCTCTAGCTTGAGCAGGGGCGGGGGCTTGGCCAGATGCATGGTCCTCTGAGGCAGTGAGCAGGGAGGGGATTTATTCCCCCACCCCACTGGGGGATTGCGGCCCCTGTCAACTACTTCCGCCCTCCCCACTTCAGTGGCAGGGGAGGGAGCATGGCCAGAGCTGGCTGGCATGGCCCCTGCCATCTACCTGCCTTGCCAGTGGCTGGAGCTGCAGGGCTGAGCTGAACCAGCCTGAAAGTGCTGCTAGGAGCAGAGGAAGAGGGGACAGCCCAGGCTAGGCCAGGTTCTTCCCAGTGGGCTATAGCTCTGACTGGGGCCACAGGGGCTGCGCATCTCCCTGTGCCCAAGTCAAGCAGGGCTGTCGTGGAGCTCCGGCTGGGAAGGAACCCATTGGCCTGGCCCATAGGGGCAGGGTCTTTCCCAACTCATTGTGGCTGCGTGACAGCCCGGCCCATCAGCATGGGCAGGGGCTGGCTGGGGAGTGGGCTTCTCTGGGCAGCTCAGAGGCGCTGGCTGGCCATGAGCCCAGCAGCCGCCACTGCGCCCAGCATCCTGTGCAGGACCTGGGGCTGCAGCCACACAACCAGCAGCAGGCTGGCTGGAGCCCAGGTGGGGAGCTGTTCTGCCCACCTCGCCTTCAGCTGCTGTGGCCATGCTGCTCTGGGTCGGGGAGGGGACAGGAAGTTTCAGCCCCATGGCTTCTGCCTAGCACATGGAGCTGCGGCTTCAGCTCCTGGACACTGTGGAAGGCATCTGGGAGCTGCAGCCAGAGCTCTACATGCTTGGTAGAAGCTGCCAGGCCCAGCAGGCTTGTTTTTTCTCCCCTCACAGCTGTGGCTCCTGCTCCTATCCTATCACGCAGCAGAGCTTGGGGTGGGGGCAGCTTGCTTCAGCCCGGCTGCTTCAGCCCAGCTCAGGTTGAAGCTGCTGGGCTGAAGGAAGCTCCCCCCTGCCCCTAGCGGCGATACACAGTGCAACAAGTGCAGGAGCTAATTAGACTAACCTGCAGAGATTGAATCAATTCAGGCTCCAGCTTTTTGAATGTCTGCCCTAGCCCATATGTCCTGCAGTGGTTCCATTAGCTCTCCTTTTTTAACCACCTACAAGCTATTGTATAACTGCCGCGCAGTCGCAGAGAGTGGATTATGTGTAGATAAACATCTTAGGGAACCACTTACTTTGCTTAACCAAGCAGTGTATTCACTGTTGATTTAAGCTGTTTTCATAATCTGAAATAAACTATATAAACTAAATTTAGTATAAACTAAATTGAAAATACTAAAATTAAATGTTTGTTTTCCCAATAAAGATTTTTTGTAATTGAAAATATTTGCTAGTCCAAGAGTAGTTTTATTAACTATCGTATTTGGGGGGGAATGTTTGTTCACCAGAGCGCCCCAAGGGATGACGAGGTCGAAAGGTCATAAACTACTGCAAGACCATTTCAGGCTGGACGTAAGGAAGAATTTCTTTACTGTCCGAGCCCCCAAGGTCTGGAACAGCCCGCCATCGGAGGTGGTTCAAACACCTACATTGAACACCTTCAAGAGCAAATTGGATGCTTATCTTGCTGGGATCCTATGACCCCAGCTGACTTCCTGCCCTTCGTGTGGGGGGCTGGACTCGATCTTCCGAGGTCCCTTCCAGCCCTAATATCTATGAAATCTATTTGTATTAATTTTGATTGTATTGTTCTTACCACACAGAATTTAGTCTAATCAATAGCAAGTAATCCAACAAAACTGGATGCCTAAACTATACACCTAAAACCTGTGTTAGCACAGTTAAATATTGAGTTCCTTTTATTAGACAGTTAATTTGCACTTAATATGCAGTTAATGTATATACTTGTGTACAATACACGTATACATATACTTGTATATTAATAGACTTTCATTATGCAGTTACTTTTATCATGATTGTGATTTTTTTTTAGGTAAAATTTAGACAAGCAGCTTGGAATATTCAGCAACTTGTGCCATTAGTGTAATTATTTTTTGGTGACCTTGTCTTCCCATCCTCCCTAGGATTGAACCAAGTTCTCAGTCAACAAGCAAACCAGGAAGTAAGTCCTTTGGACAGCATGATACAGAGGCTTCAGCAAGAACAAGATCAAAGACGTTCTGGAGAGGCAGGAACTAGCAATATCAGTCGGTTAAGCAGAGGTAGACTTTGCTATATAAACAACTTATATATGTGAAACGGCAAATTAATGGATACATCTGAATACATGTATTACTGTTTGGGGTGGGGGGAGCAGCATAATATTCCAGTTTCCAGTCATTCTGTTGATCATTGTGGATCACTTTTAGGATGGACTTGTTTAATGGATTCATTTCACTAATGCTGAAATGAAATTAGAGTGTAATATTACAGTACACATAGCAAAACTTGAGGAATTTTGCAGTACTGTGCAGTCTTTAGATTAGAATATGTATTGTATTAATGTTAGCTAATCCAGATATGGTTGGTTAGTTGCTGGGCGAAAATGCTGTAGCTTCTACACCACAGAGGAAAAAAAAGAGAGAAAGTGTAGGTGCATTAGCAAGGTCCACTACAGTTTGCTAGCTGTAAGTACCCTTGTAATTTAAAGAACTATAAAAACCTTGATTAAAATAAGAAGTCAAATGTGAAGGAGCAAGAATTGCAAAGTTGAAGATATGGGGATTGAAATTTTATTGAGAATTTGAGAATGTCCCTTTCTTTTCCTTTTGTTTGCTTGCCTTGTTTTGTTCTTCATTAAATCACTTATGTATGCAAACTGGAAATCCAATAGATAGGGCTCACCAATCACCAAATATGTTACAGTGGATCATTTTTTGTTTGCTTGGGTTTTGGTTTTTTTTAAGTTTAGTATTCTTTTGCACTTCCTAAGGAACAGCTGCATTCAGTGTGGGGGGGAAGCCAGTGCACATGCCAAAACAGCTTTAGAACCAAAATCCAGTAGCAAGCACTTTCCTAATTTCTGTGTGATGTTAAGATATTTCCCTTACTTTGCAGGTGAGTAGTTTTGCAGAGTGGCACAGTGGTGGAACATGTCTTGCCTAGGTTCTTTCAGTCAAAAATAGTTTGTATTTTAGAGCTTTTCTTAAATTGCTCTGCTTCTTGCTTACCAATTCTTTAATCTGGTGTTGGAATGAGAAATTTTCCTGTTGCATTTATTGCTATACATAAATCCAGTTAATACTTTAATTCATCTTTTACTTCAGAAAAATGTAGTTTGTAATTCTATTTTTGACTTCTTGTTTCTGAGAATTTTTCCTTAGAATCCAGATTAAGTACACCTGTATTAATTTTGCAGGCTCTGTAAGTACTACCTCAGAAGTACATTCACCACCAAATATAGGTTTAAGGCGTAGTGGACAAATTGAAGGTGTGCGACAGATGCATAGCAATGCACCAAGAAGTGAAATAGCCACTGAGCGGGACCTTGTGGCTTGGAGTCGAAGGGTTGTGGTAC